ATAAAGGACATGATGGTACATTGTTTAGCGTAGCTCTCAACGAATGTTGTCCTGTAAATAAATGTATTGTGTAATAAAATGCCTCTGGTGGGATTCGAACCTGCGACCTCTCATTGTCAAGGCTAGCGTCATAATCATTAGACCACATGGGCTTCATGTATTACACAATGGTGGTGCAACTCGAGAGGACGTTAAGTGCGGCTGGAAATTAATAGTAACATATAATAATAATCAAGATAGCCGCTAATACTGTTAAATAAAATCATCTATTACACAATGATGGTGCATGCACCTCGGCAGGGCGTTAAGTAAGACTGGAAATAAATTTACCTTTCTTTGATGGATTTGAGGTGTAGATTATTGGGGTGACGTCATGAATAATCTTATGCAAGTAGTCCGCCATCTACATCCCATACTGATGGGAGTCCCAACCTCCTTGTTATGGTCAAAACTGAACTATGATCTTAATTTGTTAAATGTTTTTTTAATTGTTTATTGTTTGCTGGTGACATCAAAATTGTGTAAGAATATTGCTGAAGTTCATGACATGAACCTACCCCCATGCAGGTTTGGATGGTCTCGTTCACTTGTGTAACAGGTGGGGTATGTCTATCAATGTCTCCAAATGTAAGTCTACGTCTGTTACTCTTAAGAAAAAACCTATTTACTTTGAATTCAAAATGAATAACATTGTTCTTGAGAAAGTTTCTGTTCAAAAGGATTTGGGTATATTTATCGACTCTTCTTTAAATTTTTGTAAACATGACTACTTGGCTTCATTTGGAGACATTGTAGGCACACATGATAGTAAAACTTTTCTTATAATAAATCTTTAGATCTAACCTTGCGTTTTGTTATTTTTAATTCTATCTCTTTTCACAATCTGTTAGATTAGAACGTGTTGAAAATAAAGTTTGTATGGTTTTACTTTAGAAAATTTAGTTATATAGTAATCCTAAATTATTATCTCTTAATGATAGATACAACTTTTATTTGATTTGATTTTTCTTTATAAATGTATGAATTCAATTTATGATGGATTTTTTTTTCTTCATTTTTTGACTTTCTGTTGTTATGAGCCGTTGGGTTTTGGTGAATTAAGTTAAAATTTTAAAAAATCAATTAAATGGAGAATAAGTAATTCCAAGTGAAATTGTTTGATTATGTATACAGCAACCGCCATATATATATATATATTTTTTTTTTTTTGTCAATTTTTATTAGTTTATACTAAACCTAATGTATCGTAAGGTAATGACAATATTGCATTAATTCACACATTTATTGGTTAACATTTATATTTTTTAGTAACTAGATGTAGGCAATAATGCTAAATACTTAATTTGATTTTACATAAGTTTGTTGCAATAAAATAATTGTACAGTATTTTGATATAAGATAAGTATATTTTTATTATAATGTATATTTTTGTAGCAATTACACTTAGGCTTAATACTTTTATATTTTAATGACAACTGTAGCCTACATAGATTAAATTGCTTGCCAGTAATAACGTTTATGTTATGTTTTTTTCTTATATAAGGTAATTAATGTATAAAATACATAGCCTTCATTGTAAATCATATTTTTAATCCTTTAATTATTAAATGTTGATGTTTTAGTTTGGGCACAATTTATTTCATTTAATGTTTTGTCTTTTTTCTTCCGTTTATGTTGTTAACTCAGATAATTTTTAACCTTTTATGTTGCCTTCTGAGTGTTTATTATACTAATAAATGAAAAAAATAACTTAAAACCGAGCGAAACGACGGTAACGTGCAGTGTTGACGGCTGGTTATGTAATGCGTTTGTGGAATGCATTTGACGACGTGTAAAGGCGTTATCACCTTTTCAATGGTGCACAGCAACGCAGAGAGAAGCAAGAGAGAGACGCCCACGCGCGTCCAGCAGAGAGGCTAGACCATCCATATCAACGAACAGAGAATGCAATTCACATTTATTAGGCCTAAATAAAATGTGCGTATGTTATTGTATTTTTTAATCTAATTAAGTGTCCACAACTATCATAATGGTACTATGAAGGCATTATTTTTATAATTCCGTTAGGCCTAGCTGGCTAGGCCCAGCTAGACTAGTTAGTTAGGTAGCCTAACTAAGCCCTAGGCCTAGCCTAGTCGCTCTAGGCTAGGCTAGTTGACTAGGAACTACTAGTAAGGCTGCCACTCAAACGGCGTAGCCTAGGCTAGTGGCAGTGAAGTGGTAGCGTTAGTAAGTAGGCCGCCCTATCCTTGTGCTAGTCGGCTCCTCTATTCTAGCATACCATAACATAATAGGGGGCCTAGGAGTGGCGCTAATGCACTTTCGCACCTAACTTTTAATTCTTAATTTTTTTACCTCAACGTTCTTCTCTCAGTCACAACATATAATTAACAAACATTTTCACCTGATTTAACCACTCACAAAGTACCTTTTTCAACAAATAAGCTCACAAATAAGTACAGCGAATCTGTGTTCGCTAGCACGACGAGCGGCTGCCATTTTGCAATTGGTAAGAAATTGCCAGAATGTCAGAGTTTGCAGCGTGAAGTTTTTTTATTAAACGTTTATGAAAACTTATCTATTTGCCGTATTGTACAGTATGTCATTCTTTATAATATTGTATGGTGCTGTTGTTTGACTACGTGTGTTCACATGAAATAATTACTTCAAAAATTAGCCATGATAAACGTTGGTTCGATTAACCTCGATTACGACAAGAAAGTTCAAAAAGATGGTACTGCATGATGGCACATTTTGTTGTCGGATGTTTCATGGGAAAATTCCAATTAAAATTATAAGACTGGCCTTTAATGGTTTTAAAATTTAAGAATTGACTCGGACATTCTGGCAATTTCTTACTTGATTGCAAAAAAGTACAGCTCGTCGTGCTAGCAAGCACGGAAACCCTGTATCAACCTATATTTATAAAGGTATCTTTTTGTTGAAAAAATTTACTTTATGAGTGGTTGAATCATGTAAAAATGTTTTATAATTATGTGTTGTGACTGTGAGAAGAAAATTCAGGTAAAAAAATTAAGAATTAAAAGTTAGGTGCGAAAGTGCATTAGCGCTCCTAGGGGTCCTAGGCTAGGTCCTAGCCTAGAGACCCTAGCCTCACTCATCATCTCATAGTTCTGCACAAGTTTACTAAAAAAATAACTATAACTTATAAGGCCTAGTGGCCTAGGCGATAATTAATTTCAATATTTGGCTCTCAATTTCAGGTTATTCTACAAGCAGCTGTTAACCAGTCATAAACAAATCCATCAACTACTGACTCGGACGATATTGAGATGTGTAACCTGCTGTGGAACTGCCAGAGAGAAATTCAATTGGCTGAAAGACTATGCCCCCAAATTTGGAATAAATGGAGGGAATGTAACTGTGTTAGATGGCCCACAACACTTTTACAGTACACTTAAGGTACAAGTCTGTTAATATTATTGATATTGTGTCATTATATTTTACCAGCCTGTTAGTGGCGATGATTCGCTGTTGTTCTGTTGAAGTGAAATGAAATAAAACAGATAGTAATGCAGTAATATGAAATGAAGTGATATATTGTAGGGAAAATAAAATGATGTTATACATTACAAGGAAAATTGCTAAAAATGTTAGCAGACACACATACACATATTTTTAAAAATGTTATTTTATAGACCGGCATTGAAAATGCAAACAAGAGAGTGGTCTTGGCATCTCTGTATCTTGGAGAAGGCCAACTAGAGCAGGCTTTGGTAAGTTACAGTATGTTGGTTAATAACAAACATATAAGCACCACTGTGAAACCACTTGCAAATATTGTATTACGCACACAATGATAGTCATCGTCATTTGTGATCATTTTGATAAAGAATCTCTATTCAAGATAAAGTAAACAGCTAAATTTTCTCAATTACCACCCCCCCCCCCTTCAAAAAAAAACAAAAAACTCACCAGGCTTAGTTAGTATCCTGTCAGTTCCTACCCTATGGTTGAGTCTTACCAATTTGTAATGCACTCCCACCCTCGTTTTCCCCATCGACATCCTGGATCTGCCACCATGTAGTGTGCTCACTCCAAATTACAAATCACTAATAACAGATAGTAGAAGAAAAAACGAATTCAACAGTTATCGTTCTTTAATTTTCTATTCTCAGATTGATAGCCTGTTGTCCAGGTGCTCCGAATCTGAATTACGTGGTGCACCGATCAAAGTGCAGGTGCTGTTAGATTACACACGAGGTTCACGTGGTGTTACAAACTCGCGGACGTTACTCCTCCCATTGCTGCAAGGTCATGGCGAGACATCACAGGTGGCCTTGTACCACACTCCTCACCTGCGAGGCATTTTACGCAGTCTGATTCCAGAGCGATACAATGAGGTGATTGGACTGTCGCACTTGAAAGTTTATTTATTTGATGATAGCCTGGTAATGAGTGGGTAAGTGTTTCATCGACACATCGACCTTTCATCGACCTTTGCGCTAAGCCCCACCCCTTTGATGTTGTTGCTAAGGTCCTGCGAGTATTCCTGGCCCAGTTCTGATTGGTCAGTTGTTAAGTTTGATTGACACTCCGAAATGTCAATTAAACGTCAAATATACTGTCAGTTGTTAACTAAAAATAAACTTAATATTTAAGTGAATTGTTAGCTCTGATTTTAAAAGGAAAGTGAAAAATAAAAGTACTGTATTGTATTTGAAATACAAGTCTGTCATTCAAATTCTATCACAGACAGCTTCTTTAATTATCCATCTAAATGAACACCATTTCTAGAATAATGGAACAGCCAAAAAGAGTCAGTAATAGGATGCCATGGGCCAGCATTAGTAAAAAAAAAAATAAAGAAGTGGTTGACGGGACTTTTCTTTCCTTACTCAAAAATGCTCCGGAAAAATTTGGGATTCTCTGACCACTGGTCATACAGTTTTTTCCATTCTGCTACTATCACTACCATGTTAAGAATACTTATAAGTAATTTTTTCTTAATCTTCCAGAGCAAATTTAAGCAATGATTACTTCACCAATAGACAAGACCGTTATATCCTATTCAGAAACGTTCCTGAAGTCAGCGAGTTCTTTTGTCAACTTGTCACGACAGTTAGTACATTCTCTCTCCAACTTGATGCAGAAAATTCAATAGATCTTCACCCAAGTTTTCAAATCCATCCATTCAGAGGTAAAGAGAATTATGGTTTGATTTGATTTGATTAGGGGTCCCAAAAATTTGACATTGACATTAAATGTGAATTTATGAATTGAAATAAATTCATCTGCTTTTGTAAAAATATTATAATTTTCTTTTTTGTTACACCAGGAATAAACTTTAACCATTTAGTCGCAATTTCCAAAAAGAAACATCACTTCAGAATATAAAGTGACAACTCATGTAACGTCTGTAAGTTTCATCAAAGTTTATTCCTTGTTTAACAAAAAAAAAAATTTCCTTAATGAATTTATCTGGCACTGTTACTGGGTATTTATATTGTGCCTAGCTTTCCTTGCAGTTAAATTTATGTAGTATTCGTTTCAATATCAGTTGATCTTCGTCAGGCAATGAAACTGGGCGCTAGATCTTTTTAGCGACAACCATTGACTAAATAACTAAAAAATTATATTATTACTATTCTTTATATTCAGTTATTACATGTAAAGCACGTAACCAGAGCCTTGTTTATACTACCGTACTGCAACAAATCTGTACAAGTTGTGCATATATAATTTACATCTTAATTTTTTTCCAGACAATCTGAAAACGTTCAACAAGGAAGCTTCAAAACGGGTTAAATCTCTGATCGGTCCATATCCAAATCAGGATGATGGGGGACACCATACTTTCCCCATCCCACATAATACCAACCTTGCAGATGCAATTTCAGAAAAATTTACTACTTTATCAAAAGCAATACCCTCCAAACCAGAGGTGATGTCAAGGAACTATTCATCTCTTTCTCAACACTGCCTAGAATTTGATAACACTGCCACAGACCCAGTTGTTTCAGATACAAACTATGAAAAGGGATTGAAATTACTGGACGAATTGAACAGTATATTAACTCGCAGTCATGGACTACAGAAATGCGACGATATTCAAAAATTAGGTAAACATATTACTAATTTATCAGGGAGTAACAAAGAAAATAATGATGTAGATAGACATGAAGTAGCTATCAATAGTAACCATGGTGTGAAGAAACACCTATCAATATGGCAACCGTTTAATGCAACTGGAACAGATCATTCTTCGCTGCATAATAATTCAGTATGTAAATCCATCACAAATTCTCATTGCAATATGTCAGTGGATACCCACCATGGAGCTTCAGATGATGGTAAACAGTTATCAATGAACAAAGAAACTTCAGGTACAATTAATTCATCTAACAATAGCAGTGATACAGCTGGTAAAGTTGACACCTGGTTGTACCCACTTGTACAAATGGGGACCCTGGGGATTACTGTGGATCAGGAGGTTACAGGAAAATTGCTGCAAACAGCAGGTGAGGACAGTACCTGCGTGCTGGCGTCTGGATACTTCAACTTGGTGGAGGAATACCTGGATTTGATCACCAATTCACGAGCCAGTTATCGTATACTAATGGCATCTCCTCAGGTACATACAATTATTATTTATTTACTGGTTTTGTTATTGCCGCTGCCAGGGAGGTTATTTATTCACTGCAGTTTGTCTGTGTGTCTGTCTTTTTGCTATCTGTTAGCAAGACACAAAAACTAATGAATTATGAACATCATAAAATTTAGTGGAATAGACATAATAATCGAAGAAATACACCAAATTCAATTTTCCCATGAAAAGTTCAAAGGACAAAAGGATCAAGCAATTTGATTTTTTTACCCTCAAGCATAAAAGAAAATAATCGAATCGCCCCACATATTCACACAGCACTCAAGAAAACGTGACTGAATGCGTTTGGCGATTTCGATATTTTCCTGATGGTATTCTGTCAGCGCTCAAGAAAATAATGTACCTGAATTCAACTGGTGATTATTCAATTATTTCATTGAGTGTATGCTGCAGTTTCGACCATTACAAATCCTGCATATCGTTACTGCATTCAGGCACAGGGCAAAGGTATCCACTCTGACTGACTGCTCTAGTTACTTATATGTTTTTTTTTTCACCATTAGTATTTGAATTAGTAAAGCACAAAGCAGGTGACCTGTAATGTATACTGCTGTGGCATGCATGCGTCTGTAATTGCTACTGCAGTGTAATTTTGGTATTTTAAAAATTAAAAGCATTTTAGCAAAGTGTTTTAAAATTGGTAGGTACATTTTAATTTTAAATTCGTAGCCTGCCACACACATTGATGGTTGGCATATTTTTCCCGCTGGAAGCTACCAGACCCTGGCATACAGATCTCCAGGTACCTGTGAGTTATTGTTGTTTTTTTAGTGGCGTCAAAGCACCTTGAGGTGGTTTTTATTGTAGAAGGTGCTATAAAAATGCTTGACTACTGACCACATGTATTACTTACGATTAACTTGGTCTGTTTACAGGTGAATGGTTTCTACAAAGCCAAGGGATTTCCAGGCTACATACCAGATGCTTATACATTCATCGCTAGGAAGTTCTACAACAGGATGAAGCACACTGGTCAGTTAGCACGTGTCAAGCTCTTCGAGTTCCACAAACAGAACTGGACGTTTCATGCTAAAGGTCAGATTTTTTTATTATGATTTCTCGAAGAACTAGCGATGTAGCATGCAATTTGCCTCTTCACAAGTTATGATGATCTTATCATTTTTTAAAAACTTTAAATTACATAACAACATATTGTAAATGCTTGAATAAGCACCTCAGCGCTTTTAACATTTTTGGAGGCTTCAGTGCGGCCCTTATTCGAGAGCCACCTACTGTATGTGAAGATATTAACTAATCAGAAAATATTTTTTCTCAATACCTGACTTTCAAACCACTTACTGCAGACACCCGTAAGTGCTTGATTTGTGGTTTATGTGTGTCTCAAGTGTAGCCTGGATTCCATGAAAATTGCTACACGCTATCGCTGACTCATTGGCAATGCTGATTGGTCGGTTGAATCGGGGAGCGTTCCTGATTGTGTGTAGGACAACTACGCAGTGCAAGTATTGCAGTGAAAACGCTGTGGCGACTTAGCAATTTTTATGAAAACCAGGCCTGTGATCGTAGTCCATTTGAAATACAACAAAATGCATTGTTTTTCAGGGTTGTGGCTGTGTATCAATGGGCATCAGGTACCATCTTTAACCTTGATTGGCTCACCTAACTTTGGTAAGCACCAGAATGATATAAAGAAAATAGCCTACTAAGACAAAATGCCAACCATAAGCTGAAAATAATTTTAGGGTTGCATTAAATCCTAGTAATAAAAGTTCTTCTCATCACCAGTTCCCCAGTAGTGACGCCAGCCTATTTAAAGTGTTATTTTAAATGCCAGTTCCTAATATTGTGGTCTTAAATCACAATTTTGGGTCATACTAAGCCATAAAAATTCTCCCTATGGATCCTTACCAGGAATTCCGTGACGCGGATCAAGGCTCTAGTCTGCCCTTTGTTCAGACACCGCTGTCGGATACATTACACTCCTCGTTAGCAAATTCCTGGAGCCACTACATTATAATCACAATATATGGACTACCCAATAAGCCGAAATTGAAATTTTCACATATGAAAAAATAATGATTTGGTGCTTAATGCGCTTTCCATATGAGCTTCCCTATTATCTTTCTACCGTAGGATACCGTTCCGTTCATCGTGATCTTGAAGCACAAGTGGCCCTGGTTACAGAGAACCATAGTCTACAAAACCAGCTTCATCAGGTACTTATTACAAGCAGGCTTGTCCATCTGTACAATATATACATTTTTTGCTATAGATAAGAGGTGGTATTATATATGCTATATTACATAGATCCTAGGCATCTGATTGGTTGAATATGCCCTACATTATCAGTATTGTAAAAAACTACCTATACTACCAAGGTCAACCAGTGCAGCTAGACAAATCTATGTTCATGCTATATAAAATTAATATGTGTGGCAAAGACAAGCCAAACCAGTCACTCGTCACAAATTGTGTTTCAGAGAAAATGGCCAAAACGTGCTAAAATTAATGTCAATTTTTTGTTTTAATCTATTTTTTTGCACTAAACTAACCTTTATATATCTATACATGATGGCATGCTGTTATTTTCCCCTTTTCCTTTTCAATGTTAAAACACTTTTAGATACCTGTATGATAGTTTATGCACAAAAAATGCCTGAAATCATAAACTTTGAAGGCTGATTTCTCATATACAGTATTGTTCTTTAAACAGCTGTATGTTTAATCACTTGTAACTTCATAAGAAAATGTCGGACTTGAATGATTTTTAAAACATTTTATTGCTCTTATTTTACTCTTTTACACTGTTTAATAATTATTAATATTTTTGTGAAGAGTGACTGGTTGGCTTGTCTTTGCCACATGGTTTTTAACTTGGTGATCTAAAAACTGTACTGTACTCTTCCTCTCAAATTTCTGGCATAATACAAACTCTATATGACCTTTGAAGTACAGTTTAATTTAAAGTAGTATAGTAGCTTGATTTCTAGAGCCTGTTTGTTTCATCAAGTTGCAAGATAGTTTTTTTTAATTCTCATATACTGGTTAACCACCAGCCTAAGTTTAAAGGAGAAAAAAGGCAAAATACGGAAAAACAACAATGCTGTGGGAAACAATGGCTGGATCTCGGTAGAGATACAAAAATGATAAGCAACAGCTAAAAGGTAAACGTAAGTAAACAGCCAGAAATAGAACCAGAGCTTTCGGACAACACTATTCCTTCCTCAGTGGCAAGTGAGTTTGGGTAGAAAAAGCCAGATAGTATAAAGTGAGAATTTCATGCAAGCATGATTGGAAACAGTA